TAACTATATCTAAACTAATTACGGGGAGCACCTCGCATGGGACTTTTAGTGTCCCGTTTGTGCTTTTCCGTTACAGTGTATCTACTAATTTGTGATTTGTGATTTGTGACGTGTGTTTTGTCTTTCGTTTGTCAAGTTTTTATCTTTGTACCTAATATAGTACGTATGTAGATTGCTCAATAAATTCATTAAATTATGCTATAAATAATTTCCAGACTGAATGTTGACTTCACTTTTTAAATAAACGTGACAGGCTTAAATTAACAGTTCCTATTGCCTATTGGATAGATTTAATTGGATATAAGTAATGTTTATGCGAAGTCAACTTGACAAGAGCGAAAAGTGGGCATATTTCGTTTCTTGATGTGTTGTCAGCAGTCCCTCCTTTCCCCTCTCCCACTCGGGAAGCTAAAACCGTGGAAAGGAGGGACCGCTCACAGTCCAAGTTTAATTGTCTTGTATATATGTACAGATTGCATTGAGTGTTAACGCTGTAACATATTTATGTCGTAAATGACATTTTCGTCATAGACTTTCAATCTTAAAAGCTTTCTGTAATTCAAGTTCTCTAGAAAATGTAGTAATTTGACATCATAGTGCTCATCCCGGGAGGTTGGCAAGTGATCTAAGTTGTCCAAATAGTGGACCATATAAACATGGATAGGCTATATTAGGATGTTAGGATTTGTAATCCAAGTGAGAATATATACATTTTAAGACCTAACCAGGAACGACTGCGAAAAATGCAGCGCAAGGTCCTCTGGTAGGAATTGAACCTACGGCCCTGCGATTCCGGTGCAGCGCTCTAACCAACTGAGCTGCCAGCTGTTGAGCTTTAACCGTAAGTTCATGTATATTTAGGTAATCGGGTGCGCGGGTTGTGATAAGGTGGACTTCAATAATTTGGATTCTTCCACTTCACTTGGTGGAATTAATATTAGAATGTTAGGGTTTGTAATCCAAGTGAGAATATATACATTTTAAGACCTAACCAGGAACGACTGCGAAAAATGCAGCACAAGGTCCTCTGGTAGGAATTGAACCCATGGCCCTGCGATTCTAACAACCTACGGCCCTACAACTGTAGCTCAGTTGGTTAGAGCGCTGCACCGGAATCGCAGGGCCGTAGGTTCAATTCCTACCAGAGGACTTTGTGCTGCATTTTTTGCAGTCGTTCCTGGTTAGGTCTTAAAATGTATATATTCTCACTTGGATTACAAACCCTAACATTCTAATATTAATTCCACCAAGTGAAGTGCAAGAATCTAAATCATTATAGGCTATATGACATTCGTCAATGATAGTACACAGAGTTTAAAACGCTTCATGTGAACAAGTTAGCTTGAGTAGCGGGGCTTACCACTCACTTACATAACATCCCTCCATTAACTTGAGGTTTATATTAAACCTACTCAACTCAAAATATTAAATATATACGACATTATATGTTGCAAATATCAGCATATTTTAAAAGTTCTTTTTATCTTGTGCTTACCCATTTCAAAAGTGCTTCTGCCTTTTCCGAATTCATTCTACTCTGCATGGTAGAATATTGGTTCTTTCACAACAAATAGATTAATTTTCCCGGCTGGATCACAATACGGTTTCGAATTATCCTCTAAAAATTCGAAGTTGGAAGAAGCAAATTAAAATTGATGAATTTGAACATACATGTATTCCATCATCTCTATCGAATCCTATAGATTCATAAACTTACATTTACGGATGTATAGTGTTCATTTCTTCTAAAATTAACCACTTTTAGTATTCAATATCAATATAAAAGCTCACCAAAGCATGATATAGTCAGACAAACGCTTACAAAGGTCAAAAATACTGTTGATTACCGTTGATTTTTCAAATTTTGGTGCCAAAATATAGCAACCGCATAGTCAAAATAACACAGGCTCAGTTGACGATCGCTCCATATTCGGCAATGCTTCGGGAATATTCGACTGAGTATCGTGAACGTCCGTGACATTAATAGGATGTCAGATGACTGACTGAAGCAACTTCAATGGTTGTGTGTTGAAATTTCGCTGAAAATACTGCAGTTTTTTTGAGAGCTATTCTTTATAATTGTTTCAGAGCTGTTCCTACTTCCTAAAGAAGTTCATTTGTTAGCTAAACAAAATGGGTTGCTGTTTCAGCAACGAGGATTCCGTCAATGGACAGGTAATAGTATCTAGTATACTGTCGTCGTTCTTCTGTGGTTCACTATCTGTGAAATATACTTTTACATACTTCACAGCATCCCAAGCTCACATGTCGTTGTTGGGGTATATTTGTATTTTTATATTAATAGTTTACTATGACAGAGTATATATTGTCAAAAAATGCTAAAATATTGTATTAAATTGAGAAATAAGATTGCTTACCATTACTACAATGAGTAATTGACTTTTCTGGGAAAGATTTGGGGTGATCCAATCTGCTTGAGATATGTATACTTAATAAGGAGAAAAAAATAGAGAAGGCAGGTACTTCCGCTCCAATTATCCTGATTTAGTCGCATCGCAGTGGCCTGCTGGCAGGGGGGGGGGGCGGGGGGCCACGGCCCCCCAGCTGGCAATTCTTGGGGGGTGCAAAAATGAAAAGGGGGCGCCGATCCCGTGCGGAATTTTGAAAGTGGGTGGAAAAACCGCATTTGAAAAAAATACAGTTACTTCCACCAAGAAAAGATGTGTTTGTAGGCTTATAAACAGACTAAGCGCATAGACGACAAAGTGATATATTAAATTACAGACTATTTTGTCTAAACATATTTGCTAATTTGCTACCTCCCTGCTCACACAAAATCGTTCATATAGAAACATGATCAGTGATCACACGCAATGTCTCATTACCGGAATATTGGTCAAGTTTCGAAGCGATCACGGGAATTATGCCCTTTTTTGCTGGTATTATGCCCTTATATTATGAGAGAGCGGCGCAAATTAGATAGTTATGATAATGTAAAGTTGTGTACGCAATTTAGTTGTTTCTTGTTTGTGCAAGAAACCTCATGAGTAATGTAAGTGATAAGATAATGCTGAAACGTGCCCTTCCGGCAGCCAAGCAAGGTAATCTTAAAATGCATATGTGTGGGGTCCGTGTGTTATTGTATAAAAGAGCTGTAAGTTGTAAATGTATTCAGATCACCAGATCAGTAGAGAATAGAACCAGAGACGGATTTTCATATTTTTGTTCGAGGGGGTGGATAAAATCTGGGGGGTGGTGCTGCTGCTTGCTTTGGCCAGGGCGTGGTGGCAACGCCCGGAAAGGCCAAGGAAAAAGTTTAACAAAATTTGTTTTCTGGGCCTGCATGGGGAGATCTGAGACCATAAATATATTGTTAATTTTACAAATTTGGTAGTAAGAATTTAATCAAATATCAAGTTATTATTATTATTATTATTATTATATGTAATTTGCGGGGGTGCCAAATGCCTTTGGGGGGGGGGTGCATATCATTTCTGGGGGGTTGCAACCCCCCCCCCCCCCACATCCCCCCAGAAAATCCGTGCCTGAATAGAATTGGGATTAGATTAATCGCTGGAATTAGTTAGCATTGCCCAATTTAAGTACTAATACTAAATTCTAACCAAATTGCAAATTTCAACACGTTATATGACGTTTCCTGACCATCAGATTTCTGTCAAACCTCCCCCAAGTCCAAGGAATGGCATTTCAGAAACCCTAAATTCAAAAATTTTCCGAGGGGGGCATGCCTCCTGGCCCCCCTAGAGAAACCTTGCACCTGCGGCGCTCGGCTTGTGCCTTTGACACTCGTTTATCAAGCGTTACAATATAGGGGCGCATCTTAGCTGAAAGCCCACTGCCCCCCCCCCAGAAAAATAGTACCCAGCACGCCACTGTCGCATTGACTTCACAAATCGTTCTCGCCTCGCCAAATAACGCATCGAATTGAAAACAAAACACATTCGTTAAGCCCAGTAAATCAGATTTCCTATAACATAAATTGTCTTCAGCAATGACAAGCCTTTTTTTGTCCATAAAAATCCATAAAATGTTTGATCTTTTGCATGTGACTCCTCATACCCCGACTATTCTGTTGAGAGCTTGTGAATTCGAATTACACACTCTGAGATGTCATTGGTTGATCCGAACACATACATCAATGACAGCTCAGACAATCAATGGCAGCTCAATCAATGACAGCTCAGAGTGCGTAATTTGAATTCGTGTGACTCCTCATACCCCAACTATTCCGTTGAGAGCTCGCGAATTCAAATTACACACTCTGAGCCAGGCCCAACAAGAAATACCTGTGGTTCCGGTTCCCGACCTACCATATTTTTTTCGGCTGACCCTATTATTTTTTCATATCGCGAAAAAATTAGGGTCTGTAAAAAATTAGGATCGGTAGGTCGGAAATAAATATTTTTTCATGTTTTTTTTTCAATAATTAGTGTGACAACAGACGCCATTTTGGCACAATGGTCAATCGACCATGTGACCCTATTTTCTCCGGGTGCTTGCGGGCTGCTCATACCATAGAGATTATAAATATGGCTCATACATTGTGCCAAAATGGCGTCTGTTGTCACACTAATTATTGAAAAAAACCATTTATTTCCGACCTACCGACCCTAATTTTTTACCGACCCTAATTTTTTCGCGATATGAAACCGGAACCACAAGTATTTTTTTAGGCCCTGCCATTGATTGATCCAAACGTGTTGTTGTTGTTGCATGTATGCGTTCGGACCAACCAATGACAGCTCAGAGTGTGTAATTCGAATTCGCGAGCTCTCAACAGAATAGTCGGGGTATGAGGAGTCGCGCTGCAAAAGATCGAACATTTTATGGATTTTTATGGACAAAAAAAGGCTTTATGGAGAAAAAAGTTTCTTGAGTTGTATGTTATAGGAAATTTACTGGGCTTAACGAATCTGTTGGGGTTTTTTTGGCAATTCGACGCGTTATTTGGCAAGGCGAGAACAATTTGTTGACTAATTCGGGATAATTGGAGCAGAAGATGTCTGTCTCACAGATGTGATTTTAGAATCTAAACAAAAATATTTTAACATGCGCTTTTTAACAACAAAACTAAGAAACCAAACAACAAAAGCGGGATTCTCAGTTTGAATGGAGGAAAACGTGGAGAAAGAGAATTTGTAAATGAATTGATATAAAAATGGCTATAAAACGTTTCTTGAGTTGTATTAGTAGGCTATAGGTGATAGGATGGTGTATAGGAGTGTAATTTGGATCAAACATGCATGAGTTAGTTTTGATGTACGTTTTGTTAGTCTTGTTTAAGATAAAATCTTTTTCTCTCAAAATAACAAGGAAACACTCTATAGCTAATGTAAAGTACTTTCCGGAATCGTGTATTGGGACAAATTTAAATGAACAATTATCACAAAACAAGCAAGCTCTATCTTTTCTATAATTGTCTCTCGAATAGAAACCAAAAATGCCAAATACAAGGGTCTATTTCATCAGAGAAATTGATCAAATACATGTGGCATACCACAAGGCTCTATTTTAGAGCCCTCATTTTTTCTATTATACCAACCCTCGAAATTCAACTATTTTTGCCTTTGCAAATAATTGCCGAAGTCTTTCGATAATTTTCGAGTTTGCCTCGGCAATTTTTTTGCCGAGGCACGCAATGAAATCACCCTAAATTCCATCGGCAATTACTTCGGCACCCTTCGGCAGTTGTAACTGAAGTAAAGTACATACGGAAATTATTGTAAACAAATATTATAACGACCGTAGATTCTGGCGTTTGACAATTTGTTGTTATATTATTTTACAAATTCCTGATTTAAAATGTTTTTAAAAAGTTATAGTGGTAATTAATAAGAAATTGTATGAAAGAATAAACTTGACGGTAATCATGCGACAGTCTAGAAAATAAAACAAAGTTTCTCGACGTGCCGTCTTTAAGCCATCAAGATTGTTCTTCATTTCAACCGAAGCCGACGCTGAAAAGCTCAAATTCAAATATTTTGTAAAGTATAGCTATGAATTTAAATCTTCTGTTGTTCAGTGTTCACCCGACGTCGATGACAACAATTCGAACACAAAAGTGATACAAAAACGAACCCTGTATGTATAGTTTGTAAATTTAAGCAAAAAAAACGAACAGACGCTGTAGTTTGTAATTCAAGGTACAACGGGTGGAATTGCATCGGCATTTTTTTTGCCAAGGCAAACTATGAAAAATCGTAACTTGCCTCGGCAATTGCCGAGTGCCGAGGCGAATTTCGAGGGTTGAAGTTATACCGTGTGGCGCAGAAAAAAGTTTCCCTGTTTGATTTGATATAGCGGGAAAACTAGAACAGCTATTTCACTCAAATAACAGTTATCATATTCAGAAGTGGCTGACTTAAATTTTGATACGTCATGCACATGATTTCTTTAAATATTTACCACTCTATTGCTGATCTTGAAACTGCACTGAATTCTGATTTGGAAAAACTTAGGAAATGGCTAATTGCCAATAAACTTAGTTTAAATGTAGCTAAGACTGAGTTTATGTTAATTGGTTCAAAACAAATTATTAAAGACCATGTAAAGTACGTTCTGCGCAGGCTTACATGGTCGGGACCCGACCGTTGGAAACACCGCGGAAAAACGTCTGCGCATGCGTCAACCTTACCTGTAATAGTATTGCGAACTTGATGAGAAGCTGTTCCGAACGTTCCCGAAGGCTCAAAATGGCGGTAAAAAGGAGTGACTTCATTGTGCGTCTTTACAGTCAGATTTCGAGCGCAAAAATAAACATGTCATTCTAAAAACTAGGAATAAATACAGCCAGAAGATTCAAGAAATTGTATTGTACAAGAACATGAACTAAAGGTGATTGTTGACAAATTTATCGTGTGAAACATTTTGTTTATCAACTAAGCAACGACAATTTCCGAATTTTCGTTGAGATACATTTCTTTAAAAAAAACTGTGTCGCCAAATATAAAAAATTTTCGTGTTCACAATAATTAAACTTTAGGATTTATTCTACAATTTGAGTGGGTTAAGAAGCTTAACTTTTCGAGAGTTTTCTTAACTTTTGAGTTTGAATTTTTGTTTTGAATAATTTTGCAGATATTTTCGAAGTCGTGTCCGTTAAAATCAACAATTTTTTACATGAATTATATTTCATTCCATACTTTAAATGCCAGGACGCTTTCAATTAATGTCTAGTCTACCCATTTGCTATATTTTCTCGTTTGTTTTACTAATTTTTGACCAATTAATAAGCATGTTTTTGTTTTAGAAATTGATATTCAAATTCCCCGCCATATTTTCATAATTTGGTGCATGCGCAGACGTTTTTCCGCGGTGTTACCGTTGGAATGTTATTAATATTTCGTATCTTTTGAACTTTCTTGAATTGAATCTCTATAGTCTGTATTCATTTACAAGCATAGCGAACCAGTTCTAAGAGCGTTAAAAATTCAGTATAATATATATCTAATCATATTTTACAACTGTAGCACTGAGTTTAAAATGTAAACAAAGCGTTTGTTAATTACATTACGGACTTTACATGGTCTTTAAAAGTATTTCAAATTTGCAACTAAATGTGAAAATTGAAAAGGAGTATATTAAACAAATTTATGAATCCAAAACTCTTGGAGTGACAATGGATGATTCCAGCTATAGACTAAATTTTGATCTAGGCAAGAAGAACAAAATCCATCACCACAGCTATAGACTAAATTTTGATCTAGGCAAGAAGAACAAAATCCATCACCACAGCTATAGACTAAATTTTGATCTAGGCAAGAAGAATAAAATCCATCACCACAGCTATAGACTAAATTTTGATCTAGGCAAGAAGAACAAAATCCATCACCACAGCTATAGACTAAATTTTGATCTAGGCAAGAAGAATAAAATCCATCACCACAGCTATAGACTAAATTTTGATCTGGGCAAGAAGAACAAAATCCATCACCACAGCTATAGACTAAATTTTGATCTAGGCAAGAAGAACAAAATCCATCACCACAGCTATAGACTAAATTTTGATCTAGGCAAGAAGAACAAAATCCATCACCACAGCTATAGACTAAATTTTGATCTAGGCAAGAAGAACAAAATCCATCACCACAGCTATAGACTAAATTTTGATCTGGGCAAGAAGAACAAAATCCATCACCACAGCTATAGACTAAATTTTGATCTAGGCAAGAAGAACAAAATCCATCACCACAGCTATAGACTAAATTTTGATCTAGGCAAGAAGAACAAAATCCATCACCACAGCTATAGACTAAATTTTGATCTAGGCAAGAAGAACAAAATCCATCACCACAGCTATAAACTAAATTTTGATCTAGGCAAGAAGAACAAAATCCATCACCACAGCTATAGACTAAATTTTGATCTAGGCAAGAAGAACAAAATCCATCACCACAGCTATAGACTAAATTTTGATCTGGGCAAGAAGAACAAAATCCATCACCACAGCTATAGACTAAATTTTGATCTGGGCAAGAAGAACAAAATCCATCACCACAGCTATAGACTAAATTTTGATCTGGGCAAGAAGAACAAAATCCATCACCACAGCTATAGACTAAATTTTGATCTAGGCAAGAAGAACAAAATCCATCACCACAGCTATAGACTAAATTTTGATCTAGGCAAGAAGAACAAAATCCATCACCACAGCTATAGACTAAATTTTGATCTAGGCAAGAAGAACAAAATCCATCACCACAGCTATAGACTAAATTTTGATCTGGGCAAGAAGAACAAAATCCATCACCACAGCTATAGACTAAATTTTGATCTAGGCAAGAAGAACAAAATCCATCACCACAGCTATAGACTAAATTTTGATCTAGGCAAGAAGAACAAAATCCATCACCACAGCTATAGACTAAATTTTGATCTAGGCAAGAAGAACAAAATCCATCACCACAGCTATAGACTAAATTTTGATCTAGGCAAGAAGAACAAAATCCATCA